ATATGCACCAATCTCCAACATAGCAGGAAATTGAAAAAGATTATCATTGAAACAAAAAATCCAAAGAGCCGAAGAATCAATTTTCGACATCTTTTTTCCTCCATATTTTTCTCGATTTTTATCAATAAAACTTATTGAACAAGCTTAACAACAACCAAAACAATCTATTAGACATTTACACTTATTCTATCATTGTTTGCGCATGTTCCCTTCCTTCTATGGGCTATTTAATGACATTTTTTAAATGTTGGCGAGGCAAGACTTTGTCACGGCGATGTTCGCCGTCTCACGTGTCCAAGCTGTGTAGCTCCCAAAATTCAAAATTTGACTACGAATTCGATGATTTTGAAGCCAATAACCATCCCTTCTGTCTATTCTGGATGATCCGACTACCGTCTTCCCTCAGGATGCCTTCAGATGATGCCCAACACCAACGTGAAACGGCGTTAGAAAGAAGATTTTTCTAAAATCTACAGAAATGATTTTTGGAAAGTTTCAGCACTCCTGAAGCGCAATAGGAGCTAGAGCGTTCTTTGCCTACGCTTAGCAGATTCTTTGAGCTTATTCGTAGGCATTCTGACTAATTAGGAAGGCGACGTAACATAGTTGTCGAAAATGGACTTTTCCCTGTTTAATTTTAAAATTTGAGGCTGTAAAACTTTTTCAAGTCATCTGACATAGAAAACCGAGATGAAAGTTTTAGTAGAGAAGGCTTAGAGCTTTCAAATGCATACAAACAATTTACAGAACATCGCGCAAAATATTGAGAAAAAATCGAAAGAAGAAACAGAACAGAACTGGGACAGAACTTATTACACAACCTAATACATAGTAGACTACTTGCAGCAAAGACCGAGCTTGTGCAGTTGTATTAGTGCAAGTTCTCCAATCTTTTTTAATCTAGGAATTTTAGCTTTGAACTTTGAGCTCATTATTAGCTATCATTCCTATCAACGACCACCCTAGAAACTATTCAGACAACTGGACGGAACTTCCGCAGAACAAAGTTCAGCCGGGTCATCTGCGAAAGTTCCCCAAACGTGCTGCGGAAGTTCCCAAGAATGCGGGCCACAACAGCCAAAAACACATAAGCGAGATTTGAACCTCGCCCTATTGACTGCGAGACACACTCAGTATCCTCTCCACTACGGATTACATGTTCGACATTGCACTTTAGTTGTTGGCGGAACAAGATCTTGAGAGACAACACACTTGAAAACCTGCGGAAATACTGGCAGGTCAAAGTGCTGCGGAATTGCTGTTTCGAAAGTTCCATAGTGCTTTGCAACAAGTCCTGTGGGAGTTCCTATTTTCAACCAGTCTGACGTGAAAACTCCGCAGAAGTTCCCATTTTTGCGTTTTTGTTTCGCAATAGTGAACGAAATCCCGCGGAACCGCTGCAAATTTTACTTGTCTTGCGGAAGTTTTAGTGAACTGCCTGAGTATGTGATTGTACAACCCCGTGCTTATGTAGTGAAATTAGCGTTTTGATTTGACAGCTTAATCAAGGTACACAAAGAGTTTGGTTTCACCATAATATTTATGTATCTTCAATCGTCATAAAAGAGTTATTGTCAACTTGCATTGTTTGCATCATTCGTGAGCGCTGCCACAAAGAGTAATTACACTATGAACCAATACATCATGAACCAGTGAGCATAAAGTTTCGTAAACAAAACGGCTTGATTCATTCTAAGAGCGGCAGAAATGAAGCATGAATCATTCAAAAAATTAGGAAGAGGACAAAGGAGCCATTTTGATATCACTACAAGAAGTGTAAACGAATGAGAGAAAAGTCCTACCAATCATTTCAAAAAAATGGATGTAATAGGTAACAGAGAGGACACCCGCACTTACAATGCAGAATTTGGTACTTTTGTGTTACGTCCTCTTTTCAAGTCAGACTTCGTTTAGCTGGCCATAAGGCTTCATTTCAATTTACTAAGTATTCAGAAAATTAAAAGCAAAAGATGCTCCCCGGCCTGGAATTGAACCCAGGTCTCACATGTGACAGACGCGGATACTCACCACTATACTACCGAGGACCCTATGGGATAACATAAGCTCACATTCCAACATTTATCACTTCACTTTTTATTATTTCAGTTGTCTTCTTTTGTATACTGGATGCTGACAGCTCCTTGGTTCTTACCCGGTAATTTGCTTATCGTAAGTTACGTACTTCACCCTCACGTATGCAAAAGATCGTAACATTCACTCATCGTTCTGTCAGTGCTATAACTGTCACTTACAAAGGTGAACAAAGGTATCATATAAAACTCTCTGATTACGATGTTAAACTGTAGCATTTCTTCTCATTCTCATGACTGCCTTTGGCTAAAGAAATACTTGGATAAAAGCGAGCGATCCCTTCCCCTTCAACCTTTGGAGCAACTGCAGGCCGCGTTCGAGGCCTGCAGGCCGTTCCGGCTTAGAAATGAAATGCTCTTGAGTTGATCAAAGAGCAGTTGTGGACAACACAAAAGTGGCTAGTTGCTAAAAAGAGATGTGCTTTTTTGAGCATCGAAGTTCGAATGAATTTATGTGTATTTTGTCTGAAAAAGTCAGCAGAGAATGTTTTCCTTTTCCTCAAACTGTTAGTATAATTGAAAGTAATGAACTCCGTATGATAGCAAACTTCGCCCGATGTACTGCAAATAGATGAACATTAAAGGGTTGGAAAGCTAGAAGTGTGGCCTTCCATGATGGAAGTTGCGAAGCCAGCACGTACGCTACCATGGTAAAACAACAAAGCGTCCATCATTCAAAGAAACTGCTACGCTTGATCAGCTTAAGTTTCAAAGCATAGTATAAAAAATGGAAGAAGGAATTGTCGCGACGGTGTCCGACATCATTCAAATTTTACGCTTGCACCTCTGGAATACAAAATCTTTGATTTGGCACAATTCAGATCCATTGATTCGCCAGATTTGACTTCATCTTGTATTTTGGATTCCAGGCCACCGGAGGTATATATAGAACTTGTAAAGATTTCTGATTAGAAAAAACGGCCCTTTTCCGTTGTTCGGACCAGGGCTCAGCAGAGGTGACGCTTTCACATGCTGGATGTCGTTTTGTGGGAGGAAAGCAAAAGGGACTCGTAAAGTTCTCAGGAGTGATTTCCGCAAATTCAACAAAATACTAACAAGCACAAAACTCTTAGTGAGCCCTAATTTTGAGCTCTAGCGTCATCATACCAGTAAAAGAAAGACTGAAATGTTATAAACACGATAAGTGCTTAGACCCGTGCGCATGGTTTTAATGTGTTAGACCACATTCTATATGCACAAAAAATAAATAATTAGTTCGTTCACAACCGTTAACCAATATTGAGAAACCAAATTTGCTGTGTATCTTCGCGACAACGGTAAAAAGCAAAATATGAAAATTAAGAAAAAATTATGTGAATGAGAGGATTTGTAAGCGTTTTTTCAATTGGTTGCTCCCGCGCAACTTGGGAGCACCTGAAGTTGCGCGGCACCCCACAAAGTCATAATTTTTTCCCTTTCACACATAATTTTTTCAAAATTTTTTTACATCAATCTATTCTTCTGCTCAAAATCTACCTATTTACTACCTTGATCCAGATTTCTTTTCTTCTGTTTTGCTATGACAACATTCGAAACCGCTTTTTTCACGTGCTGCTTTTTCACTTTTCCTTATCTTTTCTTACTTCCATTCACTCACCGTTCGCTGCAGTACATTAGCCGTACTTCTACAAACACCACAAAAAGTTATTTTGTAATCTTCTGCAATGGCAAGGGGGCTTCGTTTTCAAAATTTTTATCTGCGTTACCGGACATTCACACGATATGACTATAACAGCTCAAGATTTTGGTAAGCAAAAGATCCGCATCTGAAAGAGTAAGCAAGACTGTAAAAATTAAACATATTCTTGGAACTGGTTAAAGTGGATAATGAAAAACTAGTAATACGCGAACTGTAAACAAGATTTATGAAAATTTACACACGCAGACCGTTGTTTAACTTCTTTCAAGAGGAACACCACCGACTCCATTAGATTTCAAGCACTATGGTATGAAAGCGAGAAAAAAATAAACGAAGAGAGCAAGCAACAGTTCACATCCGGCTCAGCTCTGGGGTGGCTTTAGCACACTATAAAAGCTGGAGAAAACGTAGTTTTGTCATTCTATAGGCCGCAATGAGTCCAGTGAGTGCAATTATTCTTGTGCTCTTAGCTGTATCAGCAGAGCAGGTACGGATTTGTTGAGCTAAATAATTAAAAGGTCTTCTTTATTTAGTAACTGAAGATTTTCCTACATCTTTTTGCAATGTCTAACCTTATGCTTTTCCTAATTCTCGTTAAGAGCTGGATTGTTACTAGGTGGTACAGTGCAAAATTTTTAAAATTTTAATAAGTCGAATTCTCATTTCATTGAGATAAAGATTCCATGTTTTCCCAAAAAAGTATTTTTCATCTCCAAAAGCTTTCTGCAATCTCTAGATTTCGTCGTACCTGGGGCATAGTGAAATCTACCCACAGCATGACTGATGCCGCAAACGCACAAATGACCAATAAGTTTACGAAAGTGTTGTCAACACATCCATTTTCAAAACTACTCTTGCATTTCTCTGTGCCTACTTGCATATTTCTTCTATAAATTTTTTTGCATGTATGACTATTTCTCTTATGGAGGCAACCGATGCATCTTTCGTTTTTTAGGAACGGTTGAAAAAAGTATGAAAATTACATAAAATTTTGGAAATTCTTCTTCTTACGTGCATCGCGCAGAACTCAATGCAGAAAGTTAGGAACAAGTTTCCCATGTTTTTATTTGAAAACGTTCTCTTGGTCAAAATACCGATGATGGCTGAGGCACAATGACATTTCAATTTCGGATTCTTGCTCATCAGCTGAAATAATGCAGATTTTTAAGTAGATATAAAAAATGTAACAGAACTTATCCGACCCAGTATTTATGAACATCAGTGACATTTTCAGACTTATTGACTCAGCACTTAAGATTTGAAATTTTCAGGCTTCTCTCATTCGCCCGAAACGATGCCCCTGCGCTCAGGTCCTTCCTAATCCGTGCAACTGCTGGAGTGGGCTCAGACCTCACTGCACCTGCATCCAGCCACCCATTCACTACTCCTGCGGATGCGGAATCCAGAATCAGTTCACACAATGCCAAGTGGCCTGCCAACGCACGTGCCTCCCTACCTGCGCCCGAACCCAGCTGCTCCCTTTGGCATGCCCTTCAACTTGCCAATACACTTGTGCGAACTCATGCGCTCCACAGCGGTTGATTCCCATCCAGATCGTCATGCCAGAGGTCGTAGCACTATCACCTCAATGTGTGCCCGTCTGCCAACAGTCGTGCAGTACGTCGTGCCTTCCGATGATGCCTGCAGATACATGTCTTCCACTATGTCGACAGCCGTGTGTGGAAAGATGTGCGCAGTTCGCTCCCGTCATGAACAACTGCGTACCTCAGTGCAGACCGAGCTGTTCACCTCAGTGCATCAGCCAGGTAGCGGAAGCACCAGCGCTGGCATCTTCACCAGCTCCATTCCCACTGATGGCTGCACCCAAGCTTCCAGCTGCAGATTCTGCGCCACCACCACCAATGCCATTCCCAGCTGGCGTTACAGGAGCAGCTCCATCATCGCCATATGACGATTTGCCAGAATACCTTGGAGATCCCACTCCTACCATGGACTACTACAGCAGTCCAACAACACCATTTCCAGGATCTCTCACAGATCCAGCCATGTCACATGCTGCTGATCCACCAGCAGAAGTTGGTTCTAATGAAAATGAGATAACTACACTTTCGCCCGTGCCGCTTCTTAGTGCTGAACCGCAGCCACGACTTCCACCGCCACCACCAAGTCCATCCGCAGGTCTCTCCGCTCCTATGCCACCCATTATGTATCAGCAATCATTCGATGGGCCCATGTCATCTTCTACGCCATTCCCTGACTACATAGGCTACCCACACAAGTCAGATTTTGATATCATGCGGAAGATGTCCAGACAAGACCTTGACAGAAGGTATATCGCAAATATTATCCTTAACAGTTCTGAGTTAAGAATTTTTAGGCTCAAGATAGCGTCGTCAAAACCTCGTCGCCCTTCTGCTTAAACCTCCTTTTTGCAGAATCTGTTGGCTCTTGTTGATGTTGAAGACAAAATCTTCCCAGTGTTTTGGCGAATTGTTGTGTATATAAATGAAGCAAATGAAAAGTTGTTCTCAAACTGCAGAGTTTGCCCACTGAGATCACCCTACTAGGGAGAGCAGAATTGTGAAACTGCCGTTAGCATGTAAATCTATAAAATGGCAGCAACGAAATCGGGTACACCAGCTTGCAAATTTTATCAAACGATCACAATAGTGCAGTTCCACATGGAATTCATAAAGAAGTAAGATTGACTCAGACTTTGGAATTATCATTGAAAGCTTCTTCCATTGACTTTCTTCTAACTTTAATTTGAAGAAGTGCTAGCAATTGAACTGCTCCATTCAGTTACTAGGGTTATGCTATTAACGAGGTTTTCTAAGGTGTCTCTATGGAATAATATTAAAAATTAGTGAGATTTTAAAGTGCAGCGAGAACTATTAGGTTGGATTGGAAAGTTTGGAAAGGTTGGAAAGAAAAGAAATCGTTCTTATTAGAAAAGCAATAAAAAACTAAAAAATATATGAGAGTACCATCTGAAAAAGCAAAGCTACCTGAGATAAAGTTAGTGACGATAAGTGATATTAGTGCACTATAACCTTCGAATACCACTTGTCAAAAATACCAATGCCAAACACTGCTATGCGGGTCTTTTCTCGAACACACACACCTCAAATTTGGGTAATTGAACCGTTTTACTAACTAAATACGTAATCAACAAATACACGAACAAAGCAGAATAAATGAGCAGTACAAAAAATATATAAGTGAGATGATTCTTAAGTGAAAGCTATGATATGGAGGTTAAATGGACAAAACTCAAAAACAAAACTCAAATGCTAACTTGTGCAATGGAGGTAAATATCATTCATACTCAAGCAAAACTTCTTCCGCGGATCTCAAAACTTTCTAAGCTTAGAGCAAACTAAAACCGCTAAAATACGACTACGCAGCGATACTTGTAGAATTTCCTATCACGCCAATACTTGTATTCTGCTAAGATTACTTTAGGAAATTCTCACGCATGCGGGCTTGTATATGAAGCTTATATCAAGCTATGTAATCAACAACATGAAAGTTGAAGCATATGAGAAAAAAATATATCGATGCCTCGCAGCACAGCTCCTCGAGTTCCATTGAACCGTCAATCGGTGTTATCGTCGTTCTCATCAAACGGCATGGAGACGCAGAAGTGCAAGGAATGTTTCTTGTATTTTTGGCCGACGTCGACGACACTACCTCTACAAGATGGCCTGTGAACTTTGGCAGAAGTCGTGTTTACTAAAGCTCAGAGTGAAGACGTAAGAGCAGTTCATCATATAAAAATGGGATATTAGCTTCAAAAAATTCTACAAACCTCTCATTCGCTCCTGCATGTAAAAACCCAAGCATTTATCCATAAATACACTTGCTTCAATTTTTTCATGCCTAAAAATCAGGAGAAAATTGAAACACCAAAATTAGCAGACTTCGCTCCCAGTAGTCTTGGGCTGCCATATTAGGTGGGTCCGAAAGTTCGTGCCGTTTTTTGGACCTACTCTAAATCTTTCAGAATGATGACAGACAGATAGTTTAAAGAGATCCGATGCAGAATTTCCTCCTCTTTCCAGCTGCCATCTTCCCGTTGCGACCGTTAGACGAGCGCTGAGATAATTGCCGAAAACTATAACCCCTCATTTTTAAGATGTCTAACTTCTGCTAATTTTCGGAATGTTCATTTTAGACTTTTAAAGGTGCTTCAGGACCACTTGATAAGGCAAACCTTTTTTATTAAAGCAGTTTCCATTTTTTCAATTTCCGTTTTAGAAGTTTGCTGAATTTTTTTTCCCAGAACATTGATTTTGAAAAAAATCGCGTGACACATAATTGCACCAAATACTGCTGTCTCTGATTCGCGACAATTCTTTCAAAGGAGTCCGCCGCCGCGCTGCAAAGGGTTTTAAAACGCTGTCCTCGCGCTGCTCCCTCCTTCCCACCGCTATCTGTCGCAGCTTTCAAATAGTCGTCAATGTTGTCACATGGTGAGCGGTTGGGTTCCAGTTTCGTCTTCACTCCAGTCGATCGATGCAGCTTCGCTCCAACTCACGCGTTCATCTACTCTCAACACGCCATGGAGGACAAGCAATACCGCAGATGAAGTAAACCCGTGCGCCTCGCGCTTGGCACAGGCCGGCGACACCGTTACGGGGGGTTTCCAATATTGCCGGCCACTAGATTAAGATCTAGCTGGTTGTGCTCCACCCTGTGTTTGAGCTTAGAAACTTTATACGGCTAAATGGTGGGCATTTGACATGTGTGCCTTGTACTATGCGGTGAACGGCAGCTCGGCTGTGGCTTCGGGAAATATCTTGTGATACCATGTTATGTGTTTACGTTACAATCCTGTCAGAGTATTGTACAGTGTGAGGGCGGGCACGGATCTAGATAGTGCCTTGATTGTGAGTGAATGCCCCAACTGTCAATGGTTGGGAGCGAGCGTCGCAGGTGTCGAGACACCTGCTAAGCTGGCTGGTGGAAAGGGCCTCTATGTGTGCATGAGAGCTATTGCGGCAGGCGCAAGTAGCATTCTCACGGGTAACGCCACCATACTTACGCTACACCCTTTCCCGGATGCGACCCCTGGCTCATACCGCCGATGCAGGAGAGTCCCAAGGGTGTATGCCCTTCTGAACCGCTCCGTCCTAGCGCTAATTACTCTGCCCTGGCAGCGTTAATTACTTCGCCTTTCTTATAATCTAGCAGAGATTTCAAATATTTCTGAGCATTCCAAAGCAAGTGATGCACACGAATAATGATAGTGAGGATGTTTGAATTATGAAGACAAATAGTTGGAAAGGTTGCATTTCGTGATTTCTTCGCCCTTCCCAGTTTTCAAAACACCATGAAGTCTGCAGTGTAAGCTGAAGGATTTACCTAAGCCGCCGGCATAAAACATTTTCGAGTTTTATGGGCGAAATCTTGTTTGGTTCTTTTTAGCATGAGAATGCCATTGCAGTCCAATTCAGACATCTCTAAAGGCGGCATAGCTCTCGCCTACCCAAGCGGCGGCGGCACCGACCAATCAGAGGCGCGCAGTAATTAGGCTGCTAGTGCTAGCGGTTCAGAAGGGCCGTCTCCCGAGCCCCAACACCACTTCGATGAGGGCCGGGGGCCCAACCCGCAATTGCGAAATCCTCAAAATATTGAATTTCTAAAACTCGATTATTACTATCATTAGTACCACGAAGTAAATAAGCGATTACGGTGTGAAAATGGACCGATTTTGGAATTTTGACTACAACCTCGCGCACCCGAAAAACTGGGAAGTACAGCGAAGAAAATAGTTGTCAGAAATAGGAGAAAAGATGCATTGAATGGTACCTGAACTGTTCAAAGTCTGATGTTTTGCGAGGATAGAATGAGTCAGATATAAAGCTTGTTCACTTCAGAAATGTATTTCAGTAATATTAGAAAGCATGCCAGAGAGATGCAAAAAATTTCATCAAATTGCAAAAGTTTGCCTATCAGGTGGTTATCAAAGCACCTCTAAGAGTCTAAAGTGAAAGTTCTGAAAATGAGCGAAAGTTAGACATGGTAGAAAGGAAGGGTTCTAGTTTTCGGCAATTATCTCAGCGCTTGTCGAAAAAGCCACAAGGGGAATATAGCTGCTGGAAAGATTAAGGCCCGTATGCACTAACATTTCTGCGGCGAGGGGAGCGGCGTCCCCCGTTATGAAGGGACCGCGTGCGGACGCCGCTGCGACTTTTTCATCATTGGGGACGCCGCTGCCCTCGCCGCAGGGATGTTAGTGCATGCGGCCCTAAGAAGTTCTACAGCGGATACTGTTTGAACGATTTGTCTATCATCATTTTGAACGATTTTAGAATAGGTCCAAAAAACGGCACGACCTTTTGGACCCACTTAATATATGCTATTGTATAAAACAAACCTCCAAGCATGAAATTTCTGACTTGGATATGCCCTAGTTCTTGAAAACAATTTTAGCCAAGAAAACCCGAAAAAGGAACATTCTTTCCCTTCCAGCCTGATAGATTAACAAGCTCAAAGTTCTTCGATAACAGTTCATGGATAACATTCCCGTAGATTACACAATTTGATTTTACCTGCAGTCACGTAGAAGTTATCCAGTCACCGCAGTCTTTCGTCGTCAGGTTGAATTGGTGAGATTGATCAATGTATCCATATTTGACCTCTGATTTGCTTGTTTGAATGCTTTTGGAGACCGTTTTTGCTGTGTATAAGCCATAGACTACAGTAATTAACTGCGATATTCGCAGTCATATAGCAGTCATCCATGCAGGGTAAATCATCACATTTTTGCTAATCTAGTCTAAAAGTCTAGGCTCGACACACCGCTTATTTTCAGTGGATGACTAAATCTCTGTTTCTGTTCTTGTATAGAAGTGCTCAGCGTGTTGAATGGAAATTGATAAGATTTAATCAGAATTCACATTTGAGTATTATTACTTTGCATAAATATTACGGCTGCAGTTCCACCTTTTTTGATAAAGCGTGAAAAATAGCAAGTCAAATGTTAAAAACTAACGCTGGGACATTATGCTAACGCAAACAATGTCTTACGATGCTAAAAGAAAATACGAGAGTTGCAAAGAAAATTTGGCATTTACTTGAATGCGTGTGAAATGTTACACATTCTGCACAATCTTCTGTTTTTTGTCTATTTATTTTTTTGTGCTGAAAAGTTCTAAATAAATTTCAACTGCGAAATAATTTGTCCTGACCTAATACTCGCGTTTATGATAGTCATTCCGAACTAAATGCTAACTTGTAATCAAGTACTTACAAGATACAAGATACATACAATCTAAACATATAAAATCATTTAGGCTTCAGAATCACAACTAAAAGGATGTTTGTCAAGTTACTGCAGATTCACAATTGGGATTTGATTGCTACCTGACTTCTTTGTCAAGTTAGGATCGCATATTATGTATTCGAGAACTGATTGCCTTGTTGTGAAATAAAAAATGAAACAGATTATTTATTTTGCAGTGTTGGTTAATACCTTAGAGGCACATTTACGATATATCCGTGTACCTTCAATGTACCAGTATCATCACATTTGTAAATTGCTTCTCCTCTTATAACCTCCTCACCTCTACGGACCCGTAAAAGAGATTTGCATTATCTGGTAACAGACTTTGAAGACATTTAAAAAATACTCGATTAAATTTCACCATGGAAAAACCAATCAAGATCGTTAATGCGATTCATTGTTGAAATTACAATCAATAAGCGAAACGGCTTTCTATTGATTTTCAAAAGGTAATTTGAACTTCATTTGCAAAGTAAAAAACATCCTTTGTGCTTCTGTCTCACTTGAAATAATCCCAACATCAGCGGCTCAAGGGTCGCTCTTTTGCCTCACCTGGACTGCTCGCGCACTTGTTCTCTTACCATTCCACACGCTTAATCAATGGTTGGAGCTCGCACCTGAACCAGAGTTGAGCAAGAGGTGTGACAACGACCGTCGGATACGAACCTTCCCCAACCCCTACCCCCTCCCCCTGAATGTCTCAATAGACTCCCAGCATTATCGTCTATTTATCGTAGTAATAGTTGGCTTGCTCTCGGATAAAACTTCTCTGCCGCTCTGGTACATAACAGTGGCGGTCAGAGACGAAGCTCACTATGCCGAGAACAGCCGAACGCTCAACATGGACGGCCGAACGCTCCAGATCAAGGATGGCAGAACACTCGCTGGATGGAGGCCTCCTCACTGCTTGTGGCGGCTCGGTGGGCTCTAAGCACCTAGAATTACCCGAGTTACCCGCACGCTCGCCCGCTTAATATATACGACACAGCCTAGCCTACTACTGCACCTAGCGCGTAACAAAATACAGAATAAATTACTTATAGTTTATCCTTAAAGCACAAAGAGATACAAAACAAACACTACGCTACACTACTAAACTACAATAAGGTAAGAAAAACAACCCCAACACGGGACAGGATGCCCCGCCCGTGCTACTGATGTTGCGCGTCTACAATCTAACAACAACGATGCTCCCGAGGCTTCACCTAGACAGATCCGCCACGCGTCGCCGGATACCAGGCGCGACACCTCTCCTCTTTCAGAATTCACAAGGTCTAGATATCCCAAATCTCAAAAAACTCCAAAGGGTGGCGCGTCCAAGAACAATCCCCAATCACGCTTGGATCCAACATAACTTTCTATCCGCTCGACCGCTAACGTGAAAGAGATATCAAAGGCGGGAGCTAATTGCCAGCACGAGCACAATGGAAAACATATGAAAAGATTATTGATCGAAGACGAAAGCGAACAGACGCTGCAATGAGGCGCCGACGCTATATATAGCCTTTTGGCTGGCAACGCGCCAAGACGAGGAGAGGTCCAGCGGCGATTGCGGCTAACGTAAGAAAGTGCCGTTATCGTCGCCGTGTAGCGCGGCAGCAACCAGTGTGCTCCCGGCCTCCTACTTCTAGGAGCGCTCGCATCGCGGAGCCGCGACACTCTCCCCAGAAGCAGTGGGCTTGGGCGTTCGAGAGGTGGTTACGTGATAGCACCGGGGATCTGCGGTTAATGCCTTTAGCCGAAATTTTTGGATGATAGCGAAAAAAAAGAGGGTTATTGAAAGGTATCCATCAGTAGCACAGTAAGAGCGCGACAAAAGTGAGTGGATTGAAGATAACCCGTCCCGTGTCCACGACAAACATCATTCAAGCGCACAAGGCGCATCCGTCAAACAACAATACAAAAAAAACACAAAATCAGGATCAAAATCGAAATATGATAACGTAGTAAACTGCTGCTCGTAACTAACGAGGACCATCGCCAGGATGTTGTTGAGGCAGACGACAAACAGAAGGATCCAGTTGGCTAGACGTCCTACCAAGTTGGTGTAGTACTGCAACACGTGAACTTTACGGGGCCAAAGGAAGATGGAGGGAACAATGCTTGCCGATCAGAGTCCGTCGTCAGTGGTATTCTGCCATCGCATTACTAACCATTCCACATTCTAACACCTGCAGCTCTGAAAGAAAACACGGCGCGCGCGAACGCGACCTGCTGGGACTCAAGAGCGCACGGTGTAGACTTCCACCCCGATGGTGTGGGGCCAAGCACAATGCCTAACTTAATGCAACTTTCGCCGCCGTTACAGCAAAAAAGCAGCTATGCAACATAAAAAACACAAAATGGACGTCAGTCCAGCCTCCCGCGACCCAGATGGACTGCCGCAGGGGTAAATGGTCTGACGTGCGTGCGACGATAACTGGCTAATGCAAAAGTTGCGGATGGCGCTGACACAAGTTAGGCGCGGCGGGTCAAGTCGGGGCCAAAACATGTAACCAAAGAGAAAATGCAACTGAAAAATGTTCAAAAATGGAAAAAATAGAACCAGATTTCGTACTTGCATCTTTCTCGCTAGGTAACGCAACATGATTGGCCAGGCGTCAGTCCAGATGGTACGGGACTCAAACAGTTTCGTGCGACGTTACAACATATGCAGGATGGAAGGAAGGGCACGCACGTAAAAACCTGAGCTTACAAAACAGCAGAAAAAGAAATGAAAATATTGAAAAAGTTGTAAAAAAATTGCACATAAAAATGCAAAATTTGGAATATGAGATGTTCCTACGTTAGTGCTCACATTGGCTATCCTGAATATTCACTCGCGCGTCTGCACGATACGAATGCTCACTAGATGTTAAAGAAGCCCTAGATGGAAACGCGATTCTTGCCGTTGTCTCTTCTGCTTCTCCTCCTGCAGGTGGAATTTCCGAGTCGAAGCTTTGGCAAGGCCATTCGCAAAACGGGCTCGTAAAAAACGAAGGTCCGGTCCACCACATGTGGTTTTGCAGCTCTGCAGCTGTCAGTCCACGGGTGGCACAATCAGCTGGGTTGTTGTCCGTGTTGATGTAGTAGAATCCGCTATCGATCTTATCAGACTTCAGTTCGCTGAGCACGTGTCGGATGTACTTGACACGATTAGCGACGAAGGTCTTCAGCGGCTTTGACGTCTGAATCCAGTATAGGACTATCTGAGAATCCGTCAAAAATCTTATCGACTGGAGATGGATCTTAAGCTGGGTTCGCAGGAATTGTACCGTCTTCGCAGCCATGTGGCAAGCAAGTAACTCCATGCGCGGGATGGTAATTGCGCCTGGAGGTGCCAGTTTTGCTTTAGCGAAGAGTAAGTTGGACATTGGCCTATTTCCATTAGGGCGCGTCAGGAGTAAACGGCGACTGCATAGGCTCGTCTGGACGCATCGGAGCAAACGACAAGATCGTACGCGCTGTCGTGCGTCAGTCCAGTGAAGCGCGGTACTTGCGAATGAAAATCCTATATGTCCTTCACAATCGTGTCCCACTTTTGCATGTCCTGCTCGTTCAAGACATCATCCCAGCTATAGCCTGATTCCCGTAAGTCCTGAATGAACATCTTAGGTCTTACAAGCAGCGGTGTTAAAAGTCCCAGTGGATCAAAGGTGGAGGCATAGGCTTGTAGTGCACTCCTCTTACTCGAAACTGACTGTCGCGCGATGTTGATAGGCACGTAGAGTAAATTGAGTGAAGGGTTCCACTTGATCCCTAGAAACTTAGCGTATTGTCCGTGTATTTTCATACTGTCCTCTTGTGGAATCTGCTCCATGAGCTGATGGTTGTTGGACATGAACTCTCGGAGGTTCATGTGCATGCGCGCGAAGATCTCCTTGCATTCCTGCTGTTTCTTCAGGCATTCTTCGGTGCTTGTTGCACCCACGATCACGTTATCCACATAAGTATTGGCAAGGATTTCTTCATTCAAGCGACCTGGACTCCGTTCGAGGAAGTATCTGATGGCCATGTTCAACAGGAACGGTGAAGCGTTAATGCCGAACGGTACGCGCGTAAAACGCAGAATGCGCAAATTCTCTGAAGATGGAGGCTGGTGGACATCCTTCAACCAAAGAAATCTGGTGGAGTCCCTTTGATCCTGGTGGAGATGGATCTGATGAAACGCCTTTTCTACGTCCGCGATGACAAGATAACGATGAAATCGGCTTCGCAACACGGTTCCTACCAAATCCGGCAGCAGGGAGGGTCCTTGATGCAGACAGTCGTTAAGGCTAGGATGACCTCGCTGGTGACTCGAAGCATCAAAGACTATCCGTAACTTGGTGGTCGAACTCTCCTGCTTATAAACAACCTGATGTGGGATATAATACACGTTAGAGCCTTGCGCGACTGTACGCGTAACATCCTCAATTATACCGACACTTAACTGCGCGTCGAACGTTCCACAGTACTCTTTCCATGCTGATGGTGTGGCAAGGAATCTCTCGTACTGCCTCTGAAGTCGACGGAACGCAAGGGCCTTGTTATCTGCTAAGGGAGGATGTTCAAATCTCCACGGAAAAGAAACGTAGATGTTACCGTCAATGACTCTAACTGTGTCGTAAAAGTGCCTGATGGTGCTGGCGTCTGTAGAAGTTTCGTCTTCTTCAAGTCCAATTGTAACTAAGCCAAGAAGACTTCGTACAAGCTGTTCTGTCCCTGGCGCGTCATCATTGAGTGCTGTCATGGCCGAAATGGTGTTATTTACGGCAGGATGGACTGATCCAGAAAGAACTGGTCCGAATAGCGTGTGAGATAGTATCAATCCTGATGGAAGTCTTTCATTCCTGTTCAAGTCTACGACTCTCCAGTAGTTGTCTATGCCGATAAGCACATCCACTTCGACTCGTTCGTCCGAGTAGCCCTGGGTGACATCGTCGATGTTGTCGATACGTGGAACCGTCGTAATCACGTCGCGCGTCCAAAGCTGAAGGTCTACTGGGCGATCGTACTTATCCCACAGCGTAAGCGTGACTTCCGACGAGTCTTCCGTGAACTGATGTCCTCCAAAGGTCAAAGTCGTGATACGCTTGTTGTTCCGGAGCGGTAGACCTAAATGGAAGGCCAAGGACGTACGTATGAAACTGTACTGAGAACCGCTATCCAGAAACACTGTCAATAGCTCGTTCTTGCTGGTCCTGGTGTTAAAAGTCAATGCGTGAACTACCATCAGACGTGGCACATGAGTTGTGGGTATCCTGTGGCACGCAGACCACATGAAGATGGTAAGTCTGGGTCTACCTGTGCCTGGTCTTGATCGACCAACTCTGAAGGCGCGTCATCGGTAGTTCCTTCATCAGATGACGTGCAGATGGAATTTTGGAGAATAGAATGAGCGCTATGTGCTCGTCCGATACAGCTTGCGCGTCCAGAGACCGGTGAGCGCTGGCGCCTGGATGGTGAGGGCGACTTACGGACACTAGCACGTGGTGAAGAAGAGCGTGATCTCTGCAGCGCACGATCCGTAGAGGTCTGAGCTTCAATGTCGAACTGCACGCGCTTGGGTGAAATGGATCGACGATGGAAACTTGTCGTTGGAGTAAACGTATTGGACGCTCGCGGTCTGTTGAAGCACAATGCTGGGTGGTGAGATCTGCCGCAGAATGCGCACGGAGGTGCTGAACAGACACTGGCAAAGTGACCATAATCTAAACACAACCAACACAGACCTTCTTGCTTAACAATGGTTCTCCGCTGTGTAGGATAGGGAACTTCGAAACAGTCTTCCGCTCGATGTCCTTCAACTTGACAAAAAGCACAGCAGTAATCCTGGTAAGCGCGACGTTGCGGTCGTGCTGGACTACGAGATGAGCGTCGCGGGTAGTATGGTGTTGGTGATCTACTTCTAGCCGTGCGATACTCCGACGGCGAACACAAAGGACGCGAGCAGGTGGGACAAGTCGATGGTTGGCACTGCGAAGGCCTAGTCTGCTGCGGCCTTTCCCTAGAGTACCTGCGCGGCGGGGAGGAGGTTTGGCGGACGGTAGAATCGGAATTATAGATGACGTAAGGAGTGGGATCGGCGTCCTCTACTATTTGCAGCCTGTCGATAACCGTGTCGAATGCTTTCAGTAAATCGTCAACCGTCCACATCTGGTCTTCTTTCTTCTTCATCTCGCCAACCTTCTCGCGCGTACGTCGGGGAAATTTCGATCGGATCATATTTAGTGCACCTATCGACGATTCCTCTTTCAGGCGCTTCATCTGAGACCAGATAGCTCTGATGGAACCAAGTGTAGCGCGTTGTGAAGCCGCAGAATCCTTTGCGGGCGCTTGCTTGTTGAGCTTGTCCCAGAGGCGCAATCGCAGATGTTCTGGCCGATCGTAGGTGCTGATGATGGTACGCACTGCATCTTCGTAATTCTCCTCAGTGGGTTGAAAGTTCGCAATGATGTTGGCTGCGTCTCCTCTCAAGTGCGTCTTCAAGTACATGAACTTGACGGGTACAGGTACACTGTTGTTATTATGTACTGACGCGGCGAAGATGTTCCAGAACTCGTGAAACGCGTCCATGTCACCGGAGAAGTATGGTATCTCGAAGGAGGGCAAGCTATACGAGGTGGACGAAGATGGACCGCTCGTCGATGCAAGTGGAGGGTTAGAAGTTGGATTTGGCAGGAGGGTTGAAGATCCAAAAGGGTGCATGCTCGTCTGAGCAGGAGGAAGGGTCAAAAAGGGATTGCCAAATCCAGATGGGGCTCGCGGACGCTGGTTTCCCTGCTGAGGGGTCCCTGCGTCACTCGCGAGGGGGTCGTGGTCAACCGGCGCAACTGAAGAAGGATCCGATGGACGATCCTGAGAAGGAGGAACCTGCGCGGGTTGAGCGGACACTTGGGGTTGCGCAGTATCAGAAGAAGAGGGGGACGATGCGGGGTTAAGAGTAAGCTGAGTGGAAGCAATCGACGAGAGATGACGCTCGTACAGCATATCCGCGTTCGGGAGGAGTTTGATCTTGTTGTCCAAACGTTCAAGCAGAATATCCGCTTCCACCAAGAGATCCGCCATATCATTGGCCTCCCAATGCGCGTAGATCTCAACGAGGAAGGGGAACTCTCCTTGCTCGTCGGGCCTCGAACGAGCAAACTCCTCAGCTTTCTCCCGCTGAGCACGCAAATAAGAAGCAGTGCAACTAATAGAAGAAATAAATTCGGAAAGGAAAGTTCTACGACTGATGACGAAATCGTAATCCTTGCCTGCATCGAAGGTAAGGCTTTCGCTTTCCAGGTTGGCCTGTTCCACTTCCGCGATCTTCTTGCGCAAGATGTTGGCTGCTTTGGTCAGCTGGGCCTTATGGGATCCAAGGAGCGACATTTCTGCAATGAAAAAGACAGGAGCGAACGTAGTAGTATGTATACATAACGGATACATGAAACGAGTAAATACGAATACGAAGAGTACCTAACCTAAAAGCCCTAAAGAGGGATATACTACCAATTAACACGCTAGGGTACGTAGCAGGCGCAAAGGAAAGAAGCAAAATAGGGTTGTCAAGGAAGGGCAGAATCGCACGCCGTAGCAATGCGCGAATAACGCAAAAGCAAAACAAACAGCTGCATACCAGAAAGGACACTACCTGAAAGGACGATGTCGCTGCGACTCTAATGCCCCCGGCGCTGCCCCCCGGCGCTGCCCCCCGGCTATGAGTCTCCGTACAGCGAGAACCGCATCGCACTCGCAGGTAGGCCTTTAAGAGTCCACTGTCATACCCATCCTTGCGCAGACAACGCGCCGCATGCAGGGGCTTATAGCTGTAAGCTGCTGCCACCAACTACTGCTAGGTCACCCCACGCGCTGACTACGCTTAAGGCTGCAGTGCTAATGGGTTACCTGACACCTAGATGACGCGACTGAACGCATGCCCTATCCACTGCTTGCCTGGACTTAAAACTAGGTGCGGAGCGTGGTAGACTACGGGATCGTTACGCACGCATGGAGGATGGGATAGCTAGAAACTGCGCTACTAGTGCGCGAAAACCTGCTGAGATGTTACCTACCCAATGCGACTTAGCAACGCGGCTACCCAACACTACACGCGGACGGAAAAACCGCATCCACCATGCGCTCGGCGACGATGCACCATGTGGCGGCTCGGTGGGCCCTAAGCACCTAGAATTACCCGAGTTACCCGCACGCTCGCCCGCTTAATATATACGACACAGCCTAGCCTACTACTGCACCTAGCGCGTAACAAAATACAGAATAAATTACTTATAGTTTATCCTTAAAGCACAAAGAGATACAAAACAAACACTACGCTACACTACTAAACTACAATAAGGTAAGAAAAACAACCCCAACACGGGACAGGATGCCCCGCCCGTGCTACTGATGTTGCGCGTCTACAATCTAACAACAACGATGCTCCCGAGGCTTCACCTAGACAGATCCGCCACGCGTCGCCGGATACCAGGCGCGACACCTCTCCTCTTTCAGAATTCACAAGGTCTAGATATCCCAAATCTCAAAAAACTCCAAAGGGTGGCGCGTCCGAGAACAATCCCCAATCACGCTTGGATCCAACATAACTTTCTATCCGCTCGACCGCTAACGTGAAAGAGATATCAAAGGCGGGAGCTAATTGCCAGCACGAGCACAATGGAAAACATATGAAAAGATTATTGATCGAAGACGAAAGCGAACAGACGCTGCAATGAGGCGCCGACGCTATATATAGCCTTTTGGCTGGCAACGCGCCAAGACGAGGAGAGGTCCAGCGGCGATTGCGGCTAACGTAAGAAAGTGCCGTTATCGTCGCCGTGTAGCGCGGCAGCAACCAGTGTGCTCCCGGCCTCCTACTTCTAGGAGCGCTCGCATCGCGGAGCCGCGACACTCTCCCCAGAAGCAGTGGGCTTGGGCGTTCGAGAGGTGGTTACGTGATAGCACCGGGGATCTGCGGTTAATGCCTTTAGCCGAAATTTTTGGATGATAGCGAAAAAAAAGAGGGTTATTGAAAGGTATCCATCAGTAGCACAGTAAGAGCGCGACAAAAGTGAGTGGATTGAAGATAGATCAAAATCGAAATATGATAACGTAGTAAACTGCTGCTCGTAACTAACGAGGACCATCGCCAGGATGTTGTTGAGGCAGACGACAAACAGAAGGATCCAGTTGGCTAGACGTCCTACCAAGTTGGTGTAGTACTGCAACACGTGAACTTTACGGGGCCAAAGGAAGATGGAGGGAACAATGCTTGCCGATCAGAGTCCGTCGTCAGTGGTATTCTGCCATCGCATTACTAACCATTCCACATTCTAACACCTGCAGCTCTGAAAGAAAACACGGCGCGCGCGAACGCGACCTGCTGGGACTCAAGAGCGCACGGTGTAGACTTCCACCCCGATGGTGTGGGGCCAAGCACAATGCCTAACTTAATGCAACTTTCGCCGCCGTTACAGCAAAAAAGCAGCTATGCAACATAAAAAACACAAAATGGACGTCAGTCCAGCCTCCCGCGACCCAGATGGACTGCCGCAGGGTAAATGGTCTGACGTGCGTGCGACGATAACTGGCTAATGCAAAAGCATGAAAGCTTGAAAACTCTTCAAACCAGTTGTTTACTGAACCAGTTTGACTTCTGATGCCTTTGGAAACGAAAAATGCAAGGATCATCTTTCCTTGAGTAGCGTGACAGGTCCTAGGTGCTGCAAAAGTTTCATATTCTGGGATGTAACTGTACAAAAAAATTTGGGAGTCAAGGAATGCGATAATGCTTAAAAAGGCCAGGTGTCCTTATAATTATGTCCAGCCTGCAAAAGAAGCTTTTTCGAAGTTTTCCATTTTTCTCCGTTCGAAATCAACGGGATTGGAAGCCGTTTTGAGGAGTTATGGTAGGCTTACATGCGCACCATACAGCAAAGTTTCAGACAGATTCACTGACAAGAATGATAATTACGACAATTTCTAGAGTGTCCCTATAATTATGTCCAGCACTGTAGTTCATTATAATCTTAGTCATTTTGATAGACTATTTTACCAAATTGATTGTCTGTAGTAGATGTATATTGAAATGACTATATGATTAATAATATATTGATTAGGATTATATGAAATAACTTAGTTGAAGAATGGTAGATATATATTATGTTAATTAACATAATTTGTGTAAACTTTGATGTAGAATGTGTAAAAAAATTTTAATTCTATCGTAATTGCAAATCTCGTGTAAAACTCGTGTTTATATTGTATAAAATTATTTTTATGTAAGCATTTGAAAATATTTGAGTAAATCATGTTTTCATTGTATTCGTTGGAAATCAATGTTTCGTAACTGTAGTATTTTTTTGACAAAATCGCAAATCAAATCAAAATAGTGCAAGTGCTTCTTGAAGTTTCTGTGTAAGCAAGTGGGTTTTTAATGTGATTGGATACATCGGAAGTAACGTGTATAAATCTTTTTACTTGAAATTTTAAACTATCGGTTTCATCATACATTTTATAATAGTTATAATTCTATCAATGATCAATGATTGTAATACCTAAGTCCAAATAATTACAATGTAAATTATCTATATGAGTAGTTTCCAAATTCAGTTTGTTATCATATATGTTTTTGATTATATTAGGTCATCCGAAAGTAATTTCGCTTTTTTCAAACGGGCACCACATTTGACGGAACAAAGGTTTCTAGGGGATCTTGGATGCATTCGATGCAGCATTTCATTCTCTTTTTAACGGCTATGAAATTGTTGCAAAACAGTAAATGAGCTTTCAGGAAATAACCAAAATCTGCGACCCATGCTTTTTGAGATAATCAAGTTTCACGATTTTTTAAAAATTTCATATCAATCCTCAGAAGGAGTTCAAGTAACGATTCGTTAGAGTAGATCTTATAGAATACAGCACTACTTTTTTCTCCTCCTCGTATCCCGCCGTAATATTTTTTTAGATTTTTCAAAACTATCGGGTTTTGGCAAAGTCACCTCAGCCACAATCGCATCAAACATCATAATTTTTCGGAATTTGAGACTACCAAGGTGATACTATGAGTTAGCATTAATTTTGCGAAGCAAGTGAGGGTATACGGGTTCGAAATATCAAATTTCGAGTTTTTCGGGTACAGCCTGGGGCTCGTTAAAAAAATGAGTTATGATGATTTCTCCCCGGAAGCTAAACGAATCGGAAACAAAAAACCCTATTAGAAAGAGGAGAAAATGCTGCATCGAGTAGTGCGCGAGCTGCCTTCCTTCTAATGTTCTACGAGGATTTAGCTGCTCAAGTATGGAAATCGGTGGTATCAGTTAAAATTCTGTTAAAAATGTATGACAAGCTAAGGAAAGGAGAAAAAAGTAGTACTGTATCCTATAAGGTGTACTCTATCGAATTGTAACTGGGACTACTTCTGAGGATTGATATGAAATTTTCAAAAAATCGTGAAACTTGACCATCTCTAAAAGCATGGGTCGCAGATTTTGGTTATTTTCTGAAAGCTCATTGACTTTTTTGCAACAATTTCATGACCATTGAAAAGAGAATGAAATGCTGCATCGAATGCATCCAAGATCCCCTAGAAACCTTTGTTCCGTCAAATGTGGTGCCCGTTTGAAAAAAGCGAAATTACTTTCGGAATGACTCAATATTATGAATTGTAGGTTCATTGCTGTAGTGTATGATTGATAGATCATTATAACGAAATGCGAAAAGTTGTTCTTTGTTATTTACTTTATTAACTATGTATTTGTATTCATACCAAGATAGTGTTAGGTCTGCTAACAATGGACTAGAATTACCGCCCTGTGGTCCCCTATTTTTTTGTTTAATAATGCGTGTGCTAAATCTGCAAAAACTGCTATCAAGAATATAATCGATATAATACAATAAATATCTGAAATGGTGTAGTTTCTGTTGTTAGATTTTGTGTTTATATTATCGGTGTAGTATGAGGTCATTCCGAAAGTAATTTCGCTTTTTCAAACGGGCGCCACATCTGATGGAACAAAGATTTTTGAGAGATCTTGGTAGCATTCGAAACAGCACCCCATTCTCTTTCAAAGATTATGAAATTGTTGCAAAACAATTAATGAGCTTTCAGAAAATCACCAAAATCTGCGACCTATGCTTTTGAGATGGTCAAGTTTCACAATTTTTTGAAACTTTCATATCAGTTCTCACAAGAAGTTCAAGTGACGGTTCGATAGAGCAAACCTCATAGAATAAGTGCAACTTTTTTCTCTTTTCCATAGCTTGTCATACATTTAAAACAGAATTTTAACTGATGCTACCGATTTCCATATTAGACAGCTAAATTCTAGTAGAACATCAAACCTTGAGCAGCTCGGGTGTCATTCGATGCAGCTTTTTCTCCTCTTTCTAAT